GAGACCCGGGGGGCGGGGCAGCGAGCCCGAGGGGTGTTCGTCCCGGGCGTGAGGGGCGGAGCTTAAGGATCTGCAGGCCTCCGGAGGAGGGGCGGAGCTTAGGATCTGCGCCTGCCCCGACCGCGGCTGGGCGGGGCCTCGGGAGGATTGGGGCGGAGCCTCGGTGGAGGCGGGGCCTCACGGAGCTTCCGCAGAAGCGCAAACGGTGGAAGGCCCTAGCCACCGCGTCCCCCAGAGTCCCCAGCATCCCCCCAGGCCCCTTACCCGGACGAGCAGGAACTTGTTCATGGGCTGGTACCACTGAAGCAGGACCACGGACGTCTCCAATGCCCCGCACAAGAATGGGCCCCCGGAGCTGGCACCCTCCGCTGCGGGTGTAAGCAGGGTGGGTGAAGGTCAAGCCCCTCGCCCCTCTCCCCGTCTCCCGCCCCGCCAGGCCCACACGTCTTTCCCCGGGCTCTGGACACGCCGCCTTCACTCTGCAGCCTTCTCTGCGGATGCAGCCCAAGTGCCGCTGGCCCAGGCCCCCGCCTCTGCACGCCATGGGGCTCTCTCTCACCTACACAGCACGCCCGGCAGCCTTTGGTGTCCTGGATCTTGGTAGAGACCATGTTCTTCCTGAGGAATAGGTGGGCGTGAGGGGGGAGGGTGCGGACAGCGGGAGGGGGAGGAGAATCGGAGGCGTGTGCGGTGCCATTGGTAGCTGGTACCTTGCCAGGAGCCGGTGGGGGCTCATGTGAGCGATAGGGTTTCCTGTTCTCGTCTCTTTCCGTTCCAGCAGGCCCAGGATGCTATGAGAATACAGGTGGGGGGTCTTTCCTGCAGTGTGTGTGTATGTGGGGGGAAGCAGGAAGTTATAGGACCCTGGATACCACCTCCTTTACTCTATTTTTTTGCCTGGAACTCCCAAGCCTCGCGTCGCAATCATTTGCATTCATTCATTCCTCGCTCAACATGTCCCAAAGGTCCACTGTAGGCCAGGCCTGCTGTGCTCAGCTCTGGCAAACAGGGCCAAGCAGAAGAAATAAGTTCCCTTATTTGTGGTGTTTGTAGCCACATCAGAAACTCTGGACACTTAGCCGGTCAGAAGAAGTTATAATGCTGCGAAGTTTAAGAAGAAACATATCAAGCTGGGCATGGTGGCTCACGCCTGTAATCCCAGCACTTTGGAAGTCAGAGACGAGAGGACTGCCTGAGCCCAGGGGTTCGAGACCAGCCTGGGCAACTTGGCGAGACCTCATCTCCACAATATATCAAAAATTAGCGGCACACGCCTGAAGTCCCAGCTACTTGGAAGGCTGAGGCAGAAGGATCGTCTGAGCCCAGCAGGTTGAGGCTGCGGTGGCCGTGAGTGTGCCGCTGCACTCTGGCCTGGGCAACAGAGACTCCAACTCAAAAAACAAACAAACAAAAACACGTCTAGAAATTCTTCTCAAGTTTGTCACCGCAGATGTGATATTAAATAACTCAGGAATCCTATTTGCCTAGGTATTTCCTCAAGACTAGAAATTATTTTACACAATACATTTCTGAAACAACAACCTCGACTTTTACATCTATAACTTGCTCACTCTACATTAGTAACCTGTGGAATAAGTCCTTGTTGTCATCTGAACATGAAAGCTATTTAAAGACGAATTCATGGCAGAAATTATCTCAAAATGGACTTAACGGTAGGGACTATTATGAGTCTCATTTTTACAGGTGGGGAAACTGAGGCTCGGGAAGTACAGTGAAAAAGTAGCTGGGATTTAAACCTAGGGCTCTGGGATGGAGAAGCCTAAGTTTTTTTCAGCTGTGTCCATCTACTGCCCAACCTCCTGACCCTTGACCTCTCAACCTCTGACCTCCCCCTCCCCACCCCCCAGCCAGACCTGAGAGAGACATGAGGACGTTGTTGATGGAGTACACCCAGGTAGTCCGGCTAGGAAAGAGCTGCGGAGACAGGGGAGGCGGGACCTGTGACTCCCAGCAGCCCCCAGCTCCGGCCTCTGCCCTCGCCCCGCCCGGGCACTGTCCCTCACCATCTCTAGCGTGGCCTCCTGGTCATTCCGGTTCAGGATGAAGATGCCTTCCTCTGCCCCCAGGAGCAGGTGTTGTTCTGGAGGGGCAGACGATGAGGACACTGGGACCCACCTCATGCCAGGGCTTCTTGGACGCCCCCCCTGTCTACTGGCATTCTGGCCCCCAGCTCTGACCCTCTGTTCTCTCTTCAGATCGATTCTCCCAGCCTCTGTTTCCCCAAGTAAACCCTGACCAGCCCCCTAAGCCAGCCTCATTCTTTCCTGCATCTGACTTCCCACATTCTGGAAGTTCTTCCGTCTCTGACCCACAAATCCCGGCCCTCTGTCTCCACAGTTCTGCCTCCCAAAATAGCCCCCTAAGTTCCATCCTTTTTCCTCCCCAGTTCTGATTTCAAATGCTAATCCTGTCTTAATATGGGTACTCAGACAGCTCTAAATATGACTTTTTCTGTCCAGTGTGACCCCCCCAAACTCTGATGACAGCATGACCCCCTCACTGACCTTGTGGCCACATGCCTGATCCCCAGGCTCTGTCCTTTTCTGCTGCATTCTGACCCCTAAAACCCCTGACCCCGAAATGCCCCCCAGTCGGCCTGCCATTAACATCCAGCAAATCCGTCCTCCCATCCTGTCCCCCAAACTCTAGCCTTTCTGTTCTATTCTGACACTCTTGGCCCCCAAACTCGAATTTTTCTAGTTTCACTCTCCAACTCATCTTCCCTCTACCCATCTTTGATCCTCAAATCCCAAAGGTAACCACAGGCTCCGCCTCATTTTGTCTTGGCCACGCCCTGACCCTCGTAAGACCCTCTCCCTGTCCCTTCCTTCCTCTGTGCCTTCCATTAAGGCTCCTCCCCATCCCTGCTTCTGCTCCCTCGACCCCGGCAGACTCTCCTAGGTCCTCCTGAATGCCCACCCTTGGTGGAGGGGTGCGTCCAGGCGGCCGTGCTGTGGATCCGGAGCGGGCAACCATTGAACAACTTTACGAGAAGGGCACATCCCTGGGCAGACCACGGAGGGGCCAGGCAGCAGATCCAGCAAAAGGGAGCAAGAAACAGGAAGGTGCGGTGGTTAAGACTCTGGAGCAAGAGTGTCAGGATCCAAATCCTACCTCTGCGTACTCAACCTTGGGCAAGCTACTTAGCCTCTCTGTGCCTCAGGCTCCCCATCTGTGAAATGGGGGATAAGATCTCTCTGTGACTTTTTTTTTTTTTTGAGCCAAGGCCTGGCTCTGTCACCCAGGCTGGAGTGCAGGAGCACAATCACGGCTCACAGCAGCCTAGACTTCCTGGGTTCAAATGATCCTCCCACCTCAGCCTCCCGAGTTGCTGGGACTACAGGTGCACACCACCATTCCTGGCTCATTTTTTTTGTTTAGTTTTTCTAGAGATAAGGTTTTGCTATGTTGCCCAGTTTGGTCTCAAATTCCTGAGCTCAAGCAATCCTCCCACCTCGAGCTCCCAAGCCACTGGGATTACAGGCGTGAGCCACTGCCCCTGGCCCTCTCTCTGCTATTACTTCTGTCTGTGAAGGTTTACCCCAGCAATGACACAAGATCAGTGTCAGGCACGGACAGGTGCTCCGCAAATGTCACTATCATCATCAGTCCGCCCACCCCCTTCCCGCCCCACCAGGCATCCCTGGCCTGCACCTTTCTCTTCATCTTGTCCTTCTTGGGGGGCAGCAGTGGGGGCTGGTCAGGCTCCCGGGAGGGTGGGTTCCAGAGTGAGGGTTCTGAGGAGGGTTTTGGAAATCAGCCCCCAGGGTCACCTGCCCCGGCCCACCCAGCACCCCTGCCTGTCCCATTACCTGAATGGGCAGTGAGGTGCGGGCTGCCGGTGGCTGGGGGAGGCCGAAGACGCGGGGTGCGTGGAGGGGGCCCGCTGGCACACCGGACCAGCACCCCTGGGCTCAGCTGCCCGTCATCCCCCATACTCCCAGGACTCTCGTCTGATGGAGAACGAAATTTGGGCTTTGGAGACAGGGAAGGAGTGTCAGAAAATACATGAGATGGTGTCAGGGGCAGGGCGCCCCTTTGCAATCCCAACCCCTGTCCCCATGGAACTGACAGTCGTGGCCCTGACCACCCCCCAACACACACACGACATCTGGCTACCCCTCCAGCCTTCCCTTCTGACACTGCCATTGCGGACATCAGCACACTCCAGAAACTAATGGGTTAATGCAGCATCCAGCAGGGGCTTCCAGGACCAGCTCCTGACCAGTGTCCATTTAAGCTGTCCAGCTAAGCATTTTTGTTGTTGTTGTTGTTGGAGTCTCACTCGGTTGCCCAGACTGGAGTGCAGTGGCCGCTCCCGGCCACCGCAGCCTCGCCTGCTGGGCTCCGGCGATCCTTCCCCCTCAGCCTTCTGAGTGGCCGGAATTACAGGCGCATGCTACCATGCCCAGCTGATTTTTTGATCTATTGTAGAGATGAGGTCTCGCTGCCCAGGCGGGTCTCGAACCCACGGGCTCAGGCAATCCACTCACCTCAGCCTCCCAAAGGCGCGGGATTACAGGCTGAACCACTGAGCCCGGCTCCAGCTAAGCATTTTGAAAGCCATCCCAACATTGAGGGATGCTACTTTGAGATCCGAATGTACCCAGTCTCCATCCCAGCCTCCCAGCTCCAGCCCAGGGCCTCACCTTAGGGGGTAGCGGAGGGGGTGTGTCCTCTGCAGGGGCGGGGCTGAAACACAAGATGAGGTAAGCAGGTGGGGTCTGGGGAGCAAGGATGGGGAAGATGGGGTCGTTCTGGGCTAGAGGCCTGGGGCTGGGTTCTGCAATGTGGAGGGTAACAGGCGGGTGGTCTGGCTGGAGCTGAGGACTCAAGGACTCAGAGCCGTGGTGATAATTGTAACAGCAACTCTTGGAGCTCCAGTGCTGGTGACACACCGAGTCTTCGAACCTTCACACTACCTGGTGACTCAGGTAAGATCTGTGCCCGCTGGGCCCAGTGGCTCACACCCATAATCTCAGCACTTTGGGAGGCCTAGGTGAGAGGATGGCTTGAGCCCAGGGGTTTGAGATCAGCCTGGGCAATTTGGTGAGAACTCGTCTCTATAATAAATCAAAAATTTAACCGGGCATGGTGGCATGCTCCTGTAGTCCAGCTACTTGGAAGGCTGAGGCAGAAGGATCACCTGAGTCCAGCAGATCGAAGCTGCGGTGGCTATGTGTGTGCCACTGCACTCCAGACTGGGCTACAGAGTGAGACTCCTACTCGAAAAAAAAAAATCGGCTTCTGTGGTCCAGTCTCTTGCGTGGTGCTGGCGCTGCACTTGGGCCCCTTACGAACAAGATGAATGCAGTGAGTGGGTGGGCCTTGAGGCTGCGTCTGGGCCTGGGGCCTGGGGACATGGAACCTGGGCTGACTCTTGGGTCTGGGGCTCAGGGCCTTTGGGAAGTTTCCAGGGGCCAAGGTTCAGCCTGAGGTTGGGCAAGAAGGTGAGGAAAGATGAGGGCTGGGGGTGGGGCTGGCTTAGGATATCTGGGAGAAGTTTCAGACTAGGGTATGTCTGGGGCCTAGGGAGGGTCCAGGGCCACACAGGACAGGTGGGGTCAGGTCTGGGGTGGAGAGCAGGTGGGGGCTGAAGCTGTCAGGTCAAAGGTCACATAAGAAGGTGGAAGGGCCGGGCTCAGTGGCTCAGCCTGCAATCCCGCACTTTGGGAGGCTGAGGTGAGTGGATTGCCTGAGCCTGCGGGTTCGAGACCCACCCGGGCAACTTGGCCAGACCTCATCTCCACAATAAATCAAAAATTAGCCGGGCGTGGTAGCACACGCCTGTAATTCCGGCTACTTGGAAGGCTGAGGTAGAAGGATCGCCGGAGCCCTGCAGGTCGAGGCTGCGGTGGCCGGGAGCGGCCACTGCACTCCAGTCTGGGCGACAGAGTGGAAGCTCCAACTCAAAAAAAAAAAAAAGAAGGTGGAAGGGCCGGGCTCGGTGGCTCAGCTTGTAATCTGTGCCTTGGGAGGCCGAGGTGAATGGATTGCCTGAGCCCGCGGGTTCGAGACCTGCCTGGGCAATTTGGCGAGACCTCATCTCTACAATAAATCAAAAATTAGCCGGGCGTGGTAGCGGGTGCCTGTAGTTCCTGCTACTTGGAAGGCTGAGGCGGAAGGATCGCCGGAGCCCGGCAGGTCGAGGCTGCGGTGGCCAGGAGCAGCCACTGCACTCCAGTCTGGGTGACAGAGTGAGGCTCCGACTCAAAAAATAAATAAATAAATAAATAAAAATAAGAAGGTGGAAGGAAGGTAGAGGCTGGAGTTGGGATCGGGTTGGGGGCCAGGATTTGAAGGCCAAGGGTTGGGGGGAAGCAAGGTGGGGGCTGTACTGAGCATCCAGTCCGGGCTCAGGGCTCGGATGCAAGGAAATAGGGGTGCGGCGGGTCAGGGGCGGAGAGAGAGTCGAGTCTGGGTTGGCAGGAGGGGGGCGGCCGTGTGGGCCTGAGGAGCGGCGGGCCGGGCCTGGCTCACATGTCCACGTCATCATAGTCATCATCGTCGGAGTCTGACAGGTGCTTCCTGAGGAGTGACAGGTGTAAGCCTCGGGGGTTCCTGTGCATACACCCCGGCCCCTCCCCTCCCACCCTAGGGTCCCTGACCTGGGACTGCTGCTCCTGAAGTCTCGGGGGAGCTGTAAGCGAGCCTGTGGGCGAGGAAAAGGGTCAGAAGGCCTCTTGGGGAAACGGAGGGTGTCTGGGGGGAGCAAGGGAGGCGTCTCACAGTGTCGGCTGGTGGTCTGGTCTCCCTCCCTCGGAGCTTCCGGAACTCCATGTGCCGCCCTGGGTGGGGGAGGGGGAGATAGTCCACGGGGTGGTGAGAGGCATTTGGGGCCAGAAGGTGTAGGATGAAGGTTAGGGTCTGGGATTCTCCCTAAGAGGAGGGGTCTGGGCTTCCAGGAGTCTCATGGGGGGGTTAAGACCGGGGATGAGCAAGGTGGGGGGGGCTCAGAGCAGTTAGTGTTTGTTTCAAGGCCCATTTGGACATCAGGGGCTCTGACAGAGATTGCTGGAATCTCATTTGGGGTAGGGTGGTGATAGGAAGTCCCCTGGGGTCTGTCTGCCGGTCATAGCGGTGGGGGTCTCTGTGGTCATTTTGTTGGAGTTGGCGAGGCTGTCTGGGGTCTCATGGGATGAGATGGTGATGAGGGTCTTTGGTGGACTGATCGTGGGGGAAGACATTATTTTAGCTCTACCACCGGGTCAGGTGCCCCCAAACTTAAGGATGCTCTACTCACGACAGCAATCTGCATCTGGGATCCCCAGGGAGCTGGCCCGGTGGGTGGATCTGATCCGCCGAGGGACAGCAGGGGGTAACTGGGCAGAGGGGCAGCCACGTGAGGGTTCATGACCTCCAGCAGCCCCCCACCGTCCCGGAGGCCCAGCCCGAGCCCTCCTTCCTCCTAGGACCCTCCGTGTGACCAGCCCTGTGCCCCTGCCCCCCTCCTGCCCTGCTTTCCTTCTAAGAGAGGCGGCAGGAAGGCATTCCTGGCAGGGGCAGGGCCTGAGCAAAGACCAAGGGGTCCCAGCACTCTTGTCAGCCAGGGCTCTCACCTCAGGTTCCTCGTCCTCAATCTCCCCAAGGGGGGACCCCTTTCCAGGGTTCCTCAGTTTGTCCAGAAGATCCAGGATCAGGCCTCTGTTCAGCCCAGGCTGGGAGACCAGCTGATGCTAGGGGAAGGGGAAGAGGTGTCCATATCCAGAGGGCTGGGATGGAGAGAGAGGGTTGGAACAGGGGGTTGGGGACGTGTCTAAAGGAATCCCACAGGGGAAGGTGTCAACTGAGGAAGCAGGCAGGAAAGTCCAGGGAACTTAGAGATCTGGGACTCCTGAGAAGTCCTAAAGGGTTAGGAGAATTTAGGGCTCTTGGAGGGGAGCTTGGAGAATTGCAGATTGTATTATGGTTTTTTTTGAGTCAGGGTCTCACTCTGTCGCCCAGGCTGGAGTGCAGTGGCACAATCACAGGTCACCACAGCCTCAAACTCCTGGGCTCAGGCGATCCTCCTGCCTCAGCCTCCCAAGTAGCTGGGACCACAGGTGTGTGCCATTACACCCAGCTAATTTTTTGTAGAGATGCGGTCTCACTATGTTGCCCAGGCTGCACGTGTACTCCCAGGCTCAAGCAATCCTCTCACCTCGGCCTCTCAAAGTGCTGGGATTACAGGCATGAGCCATCGTGCCTGGCTGCAGAGTTGAATTAGAAGTAACTGGAGTTCCTTTGGAACTCAAGAGGATGTTCAGCAATAAGTTTTGAGGTCCTGGGGAATCTGTGAGTGCTAGCAACTCAAGAGATCTGAGACAGGTCTGGGGTACAATTCAGAGGATCTCTGGGGAGAGTCCTGGAAATTCTGAGGGCCTAGGGACTTTGAAAGGGCCAAGAGAGTTCTGAGGAACTAAACAGCCCAGTCCTAGGGAGTCTTGGAAGGCCTTAGGGGTGCTGGGCTGGAAGTTTGGGGAGGGTTACTCAGGGAAGGGAGGTTTACACTGAGCATCTTGGTGGCGCTGGGTCGTTTCTTGGGGCTCTTAGTGAGGGTGACTTTGACAAAGTTGTGGAAAGCAGCCGACCTTGGGAGAAAGAAACCAGTTCTGGGGTGAGGGGCCCAGACACTTGCCCATCGGAACCCCCACCCCGGTTCTGCCCTCTCTCTCCCTTCCCCATGTCACGGCCTCACCATTTGCCTTTTTCTTTTAATCGCGGGGGCTGGTAGCCACTTTTGGTCATGAGGAAGAGAACTCTGGAATAGCAGGAAAAGAAAATGGGGTTCAGACCCCCAAGGGGCCAGACCTCATGGCTTGGAGGGTTCCCAAGAGCACTGGGATCAGCAGAGAGTGAAGTGAGGGACAGATGGGAATGGTGTCAGATTTTGCAGCACACTGGGACGCCTCTCCTCAGGGAGGCCATTGATTGCTTTGCAGAGCTGCAGCCGGTGCCCAGAAAGGCTCAGGGTGGGGACCCCCCGAGGTGAGGGTTGCTGGTGTGGAAGTCCTTGGTGTCTCCTGTGGACGGAGGTTCCCAAGGGGAAGCAGGCTGAGGGGTGGTCTTCAGGGCCAGGGCTGGATGCAGTCTCTGGACCCTAACACCTCTCGTGCCTGCCTACCTGAGTGGGTGCACGTCAAAGAGCGGCGGCTGTAGCTCAGCCAGTTCGATGGCTGTGATGCCCAGGGCCCAGACGTCACACAGCTCATTGTATCCCCCCTTCAGGGCCACGGCTGCCACTTCCGGAGCCATCCTGGGGGCAGAGACCATCAGAGAGCCAGGGGTGGCATAGGGAGGGGGAGGGGAGAGAAGGAAAGGGGGCAAAGGAGATGAGGCACAGAGTTGGAGAGAGACAGAAATAAAGATGATCGGGCTCGGTGGCTCAGCCAGCAATCCCACGCTTTGGGAGGCTGAGGTAAGTGGATTGCCTGAGTGCGCAGATTTGAGACCCGCCTGGGCAACTTGGCAAGACCTCATCTCTACAATAAATCAAAAAATTAGCTGGGCATGGTAGCGTGCGCCTGTAGTTTCA